TGTGTGTGTGTGTCTGTTTGTGGGAGCTTGTGAGGGTCTGGCAATCCAGGCATATGCTCTTGGCTGGTATGAGAATGCCGACAAGAAGATGGACTCCAGGTTCAGTCCATCTACGAGTGACGGTATGTGGTTGGATAATCGGAGAACTGTATTCCCTATCAGGAAGGGTGCCGAGAAGCGACTCAAGCAAGAGAAAAACGACAAGAACCGGATCCAGGCAAAGAGCCAGACTGTTGTGTTGCAGCAAGACTTTTTTCCGTCAGCAGGTCAATTTGGAAAGATGCACCCTTTGCATGGAAAGCCATGTTCTCACGTGCATATGTGGCGAATCGCGGTCTGCTTGCCCAGCTCGTGGCGATGAGGTAAAAAGTTTTTCCGCAAAAATGCGGTGATGTCGGTGTCGCCTCATGCGTCGCATCCCCATTGACCCTGCTTTGGGCCCTTGAACTTTCAGTCTGAGTCTCATGCTACCGAGGTATGTTTGTGTCGAGGCGGAAGGTCGGTGCGTTGTTCCTGGCCAGGTTCCGCTGGCAAGGGATCACGTATCTTGCCCTGTGCTTGCCGTTCTTTCGCAGGTGCTAATCGTGCCGCAAGAGCACGTCATGGCCATGACGGATGCGGACGAGGCAGGCCGGGAGAAATTTGAGACTTCATGTTTTTCTTCCCTGTGCAGGCTGCGTGGGCGGTGTGCTTAACGAAACATCTCGCGGACAGGGGCTTAGTGGAAAGCTCAGAGCCATGCCAGCATGAATGAGGCAGACATTCGTAATTACCAGAAGTGCCTCATCTCCTTCTACGAGTCAGAGGCATGACTGAGATCAGTCAAGCCGTACAAGATGGCAGACTTTCATGCAACATGCCGCGCATGCCGTTGCAGCAACCTCCTCGTGCTGTTCTCTTCGTGGAGTCTTCGGTGCACCGTGTTTCGAGGGACAAGGCACGAAGCGGCTTAGCGCTCGACACCTAGTGACTGCTGCATGAGAGGCTTTGCTGGGAGCAGGCCCCCATGCCAGCATTGTCGCATATCCGATCGAGCACCAGCCTTGGCTAGGTCCAGGTGGGAGTGGCGAGAAATCGTTTTTCATAAACACTTCATGGCTTCTCGCAGTTGCGAGGAACGGTCGCATTTTATGTCTATTTTTGTCAAGGTCTCGTTGGCATCAGTGCAATATATTGGGAGCTGTTCCGGCGGATTCTATCGCTTCATGAGTGAGATCGGCTGTTGTTGGATCTGGTTGCACTAGCCGCATTAGCAGTCATGTCATCAGCGGCTGTGAATGTGGGACTGGGCCTTTCTATCATTCTAACAAAACTTGCACGATTCTTGCTACTCATGGCTATCGTTCCTGCGATTGCATGACCTGTTTCTCAGCCAGAATTCGAACTCGTTGTGCAGCAAAGTTTTCGGTTGGGAGCATCAGTATCGGATCATTTTCCCTGCGACCGTAGCAGATACGAGAACCTTCAAGCGTCAGTCGGGCTTAGTTCGACGGAATGCGGTGGACACAGGTCAGAGTGCGTCCCCCGAATCAAGGCTAACTGAGCAGTGGATCATTGCTGCCACATCGTCAATTAGTTGTACGAGAAGGATGTAGTTTCTTGGAACCGGGTCTTGCTGTGTTGGCCTTACGGAAAACTTCTGAGGATGGGTCTTCTGGTCCAAGCACGCACCTACTGGAAGAAGGCATCCAACAGACGTTGACAATTATCGACACTCCATGCTATCATGCGCAAGTAGCATTCCTTCAAGGCCCTGGATGAAGCTGAGAGTGAATTTGAGACCACCCACAAGAAGGCAATGTGCCGGGTGGCGTCAGCATCGGCCGGACTCTGATGCATTGTACAGCGAACTTGGCCAGGTTATTGAGACGGATTCGAAGGGTGGTGTGCGAAGTGCTGTTCCGAAGGGCTTTCCGTGCGCCTGCAGCATCCGGCTGTGCAATTCTGAGACGCAGAATTGCGAGGTACATCCACGTGGATTTTAGTCTTGGAGGTGGTTTCGCCCATGTGGTTGACAATGTGGAAGAGTTTCCGCGGGATTTCGCGCAACATGTCATTGCAGGAATGCGTCTTGCCTGCATCGTTGCAGTGCATGTATTGTACCCGAAGGGAAATCCCAAGAGACCGTGAACTTCAGGACAGCAGTTTATTCAGTCCTTGCTTTCGACTGAGGTGTGAGATGACCATCCTTGACCGTGCTTACACTTGCAAGGAGGAGTGCCCTCGCAGGTTTACCATTTATTGTTGCCTGATATGATCTGATCACGGTCCATGCTCAAGGTACAGAGATGCTTGCAAGGACATCAAGGAACGCTTTGCAGCGGACTTTGACTGGACCAAGGCCATTCTAGCCCAGGGCACTGCATTTAGACCACATAGAGCTATCCAGACCACAGACCAGCACTTATGAAATATTTCGTACGGTGTTTTCATTCGCGTCCCACCGTACATGTTCTTTTTTTTTTAATATTGCTGTCTTGTCAATACTCATAGCCTTTCTAACACAAGCTGAAAGCTTCTGTTGAATTCCATCTTGCACTCTACTGGCACTTGCAATAGCTTTGCTCCAAGCCTGACCGCTCTCAGTTTGTCTTCTTTTTGAGAACATTGCTGGAGTTTTGAAAATGCGCAGTGACGACGCACACGACATGGGGTTCGATCGGCTCGCATTCAGTTAATACATAAGTTAGGCAGCAGATGGCCCTGGTTCTTCGACGTTTCCAGAAAGGCAGCACTGATTTGTTTGTGTGCAGGTCCAAAGGTATGTAGGATGATCAGGTCGGTATGTTATGTATATATTCGTTTTGGGGATGACTGCGCGATTAAAACGATATGGGCCAATATTTGTGTAGGTGTATACATGAGGAGAGAAGCGAATGTGCGCATGCAAACTATGTTGGTACCTGTACGGTAGTCGGACAGGTTTCAAGGGTTGCATGGTGCATGTGATGCTCCCGCGACAGGAAAACACATTTTGCTCAACAGCTCACGGTACAAGCTTCTCTTTCGAAGTCAGGCGCTTCAAGCTTGACTTGGACTGCTGCCTCCGTCCGCGACAAGATGTGCAGCCTCGTCTGAACAGGGATGAGGGGCAAACTCAAGCACCCATGATGAAGCCGCGAAAGCGCGGTTTCGCAGATCGCTGAAGCCATGAGTTGGCCATGGAAAGAGCCCGAGATACGTTCTGTCAGCTAGACAGTTCTGCTGCGCCTAGTGCTTCTCGATTGCTGCATCCGCGATGCAGGACCTTCAGCAGCTCGGCGTCTCGATTTTCAACAGGACAGAAGACCCTCACCGCCAGACGACGCTATGTTTTGTGGACGGTGCTGTTCCTCCCATCCTGTCGCAGGGTTTTTTCTAGGGTCTCCACTTGTTCTTCGCATCCCTGGAGCGGTGTCTTTGCAGCTGCAGGCTGCGAGGAAGGTTGCCTGTCTACCACAACTTTCTCGAGGAGCCCCGGTCACGGGATTGCCTTTCTCGTTGCGATTGGCATTGTGCGTGATTTTCCCGTGGAGATCAACAACTTTCTGGTGAGGCAGCCTGGTGCACGAGACTCGCGCATTCCAAATTTTGAGTTCATCTGGGCAGGTTAAACGCTGACCGGGAGAAGATTGGTGACAAGCCCAGAATAGCCCCAGCTTGTGTGGGACAGCCCAAGAACTGGTTTCAAGGCGATTATCTGAGTGAGGAATATCCGACCGTCGGCAGCTTTGCATGTTTTTCGTGACCTGTGGTGGGAGTGTTAAGAGATTTATCTCGACTCGCACTTAATGATGCGAGGCTCAGACCTTGCGCTTGGAGTGGGCCTAGCTGGTTGGCATGTCAAGGGAAAAGGTTCCAATTTGCAGATGGTAGCAGCTGATAGCATTTCCTAGCGAACCTGAATGTCAAGCCAGGTTCCTGAACTCTCTGCCGCTCCTGGGGACTGGAGCTTCGTGCTCAGTGGCGAAAGACTCTTGTCGCGCCGCACAGTGCGAAGAGTGCGCTGCACACGTCTGGAGACAGCCGCCGAGGTTCTGTCAGCGTTACAGACAGTCTCGCATGACCTGACGCTTCCGCGTGACTGGATGAAGGCGAATTTTCTTTGCACTTCCGCGGGCTGTTTACCGGACTGCCATGCGAGGTGGATCGGCTTCTCCGGGGTGTTGCGCACTTCTGGTGGAAGCAGCATGAGGACGAGACGTTCCTGGCAGAGAAGATCAAACACTTGGGTGCGTGCTGGTTTGTGCTGAAGCAGTGCCCTTCGGCCGCAGGAGGAGATCAATGAGCGCCGGAACGAAGCGCCGACCTTGAGCGCAAGCCTAGCGCAAGGCACACGAGCGCATCTGACTGGCTCAGGGCGGTGCCAGCTCTTTCCGCGATGCGCCAGACGACTCAGGCCAGGGCATCCAGGGCCCCAGGGCGGAGGCCGCTTCGACTTCGCATCCTTTCGATCGCAGGCGAACTGATTGGTCTGGACCTTCAGCGTGCACTGCTTGGGACAGAGGGCTTTCACAGGCTCGTTCTGGCTCGCTCGGTGAAAGCTGGATCGAGATGTATTGCCGCCATAAAAGCGGCCATCCGCAGACCAAGCGGACAGCTGCAGGCTCCTGTTCTCAACGCTGATGTTGTACAGGCTCGTCGGTGCAGTGCTGTTCTGGGTGCTTCCGGGACCGCGGCTGCTTGCAGTTTTGCTTGAAGGTGGCTGAGGGATGGCCACGAGATGCCACTCAACACCTGGGTGCAACTGAATGCCGGCATCGAGGCAGAGGGCAGAGCGTTCTTTCCTGTGCAGCGTCTTCGCACCTGAAAGGGAGCCGGGAATGATTTTCCTTTCCATGTCCAGATGGCTATCCACAAGGTGCAGTGCTCGCATGTCCGGGAGCATGCGAGCCCGCGTGCATGCATGTGCAGCGAATTTCGACCCGTGGAGCGGGCAGGCAATCAGCTCTGGTGAGCTGAAGCTCCAAGCTCTGGTTTCAGCTTTTTCTTCTCGACAGCAAAGCGGCAGAAAGATCCTTCGCACTATGGCACGCGTCCCTGTCGGCTCCATTCTCAGGTAGACCGGACGCTTTCCCCGGCGAAGCCTCCCACTCCATCCCTGCGGGGTCGTGCGCCGTCCTCGAGTGATGTGACATCGCGTGAGACGTTGTGACGGAATGTGACGGATTCCGACTCCAGGCCTTCGTGCGCTACAACGGCCGGCCCCAGACTGACGGTGAAGCTCACTGGCCACAGGCCATGTCGAGGGGGAGAATTTAAAGTTTAAAGACTTCAAGCGTTGCAGGCATCACCACACGTTCTTGCTGCGGAAGGAGGTGTCCTCGCCGCTGGAAGGCACGTCATGCACGTCGTTCTGAGAACTTCAGACTCTGAGAAGCCAAGCTGAAAAGACAGGATGTCTCCACAGCCGGCGCTGTGCCTGCAAGGCTCTCGAGCAAGGTCGGGCGTGAAGTGTAGAGCTAGGGAGGTGTGTGAAGATCGCGCGGTCCGCCTGGGGAGTGCCATCTACCCAAAACGGCAATTCGGCCGAGGCATGTCAGCGCAACTGCAAGCCCCCAGAGCATCACAGCCTCCCTTCGGCACACGGGCCCGGAATCCTGAGACGTTTTTGCTAAGCCATTCACTGCTGCTGCCGGGGTTTTGCCGCCAGACCAGGCGCGCAACCCCTGGAGCCGAAAGCCCTGACCCCCAAAACCTAAACACCACACCCCAAACCAGAAACCCTAAACACGAGAACCCGAAAACACTAACTTCCGCAAGCTGCAGGGTCGAAGGACATAGCCAGACTAGTGCGCCAAGGGTTTCCCCGAAACAGGGCGCGGTACTGGAAGGGCCCACACAGCTGAGACCCTTTTGATCAGCAGAAACTTGAGCCCTGACACCCAGATGCTAGACTTTTTCCCCGACCGCAAAGTCGATGTAGGCACTCGGGAAAACGACGTCCAACACAGAACGCCATTGTAAGACGGCGCATGCCAGAAAATAGCCCCCAAAACTAAAATCGAAACCAGAGACCCCAGGCCCCACCCCAGAACACCTTACCCCTTTTCCTAAACCCTCAACCCTAAGCCCTAAACCCATGGTGGTGGTGCTAAGCCCCACGCCTAAGACCCTAAGCACACGCGACACGAGAAACCCTTTGAACCGCCAACGAGAAATAATTTTCTTTTTACCTCCAGGCATCCCCGCAAGACGCCCGACCAACAGGAAAGAGCTAACTTCTTCTAAGCAGTCTGGCACTGAAATCCTATCTGAAATACGGCATGAACCGTACCTCAACAGGAAACAGTTAAGTTTGTCTAAGCATTCTGGCAGTGAAACCCTATCCCCACCCGCCCACCCTCGGCCACAGCCCACAGCCCACAACCCACCCCACCACCTCCACCCCACCCCACCCCACCTCCACCCCACCCCGCCACCACCCTCCACCCCACACCCCCCCCCACCCCAATCAGCGGGACTGCGTCGCGATGGGTCAAGGCCTTCCCACCAGGCGCAAGGTCCAATATGCCACCCTGGTTTGCTATGTTGTGGTACACCAACTTTGCACATCCCCGGATGTTGGGTCTAATATGCAAGTTGGTGTACAGACCCTACAGTAGATGACCCTATTGCACAGGGAATTGTCCATGGTACCCTGATGATGAGCCCGAACCTGAAGACGACGTCGACCCCACCAAACCCCGGGAAAAAACTATCCATGCGACTTCGGTGCGCATGTTTCACTTTGCAATGATTGCTGCCGGACGAAGTTCTTTTGCATTGCTGGCATTTAGCTACTTTCATTCTTTCGCGCGCCGGCAACAGGGTGCTCGCACCTTCAACCGGAGCTTTGCCGGAATTTGTGGCAGCTGTGACTGCACTGTCATTTTTTGCTTGTGCCTCAGGATGTCGTTGACAGCGTTTGCGCAGCCTTTCGATGCTGGTGGGTGTGCATCCCATGTTGTCATCCCCATCAGCTGCCCTTTGCCGTTTTCCGATTGATTTCGCAGCTTTTGTTTTACACTCAGGTCAGGAACCACCGACGAAGAGGTTGGCCGTTGCTGAAGTCCGAAATGCCTGAAGTCCGCCAACATAACACATAAACGGGGGGGGAGGTGGTTGCGTTTCACCTTGATCTCATGGCCTTTCGACGTTTGAGGCGATTTGTTTTGAGGCTGCAGCACCATGCAAGCTTGCTTGATACTGGGTGCGGCAGTTGTGCCTTTTGAAATAAAGGAACGCATACTCTTGCGCGGCCACGATTTCTGTCTGACCTGCATTTAGACTTCGGGACCAGGTGACATGGTTGCGCTTGCATCAATGGCAGTGTCCTTATGTGTAGCAGATTGTCGATTCCACGTCCGCGGCGCAATGTTCCTGTTGAGGCTGCTCCTGCTGGCCTCCAGTGACGATGCAGCCCCTTTCGCCTTTGTGTCACTAAAGCTTGGCCCTTGGAAAGGTCCTTCGAAACAGCTTGTCGGACCTCGCAACCCCAGGAAAGTAGCACTTCTTCGGGCTGATGCCCGCGTGCTGCAGATCACGCTTGCCCGCTGGGTCCTCAAATCTCGCTATCGCATCTCGCAGCTCTCTGACTTGAGCGTGACGACATCCGCAAAGCCATGGAAAGCCTCTGAGGCAGAGTTGAAGGGGACTGGCCGTCGGTCACAGTGGACGACGATTGGCTGGAGCTTGTGACCCAAGACTGGGGAGGGGCCGGATGGGCCGGATGGGCCGGCTTGGCTTGGCACGGACTTGCGCTTTGGTGAGGCTGTGCCTTTTGCTGGGCGACGGGCGGTTTCAGGTCTTGGAGGCCGGCAGGGGGCGAACGGACACCCAAGGCTGCCTGAGCCCACTTGAGCCCACGTGCGTGTCCTTCCAGGCACCAGAGCTGATGATGAGGTGCCGTGGGCGTAAGGTATCACGACGTGTTCCAGCCGTGACTCTTTGGCCGGTCAAGCTCCCGCCAAGCTGAGGTAGGTGATGCAGTTCGCTGAAGCTGGTACAGGTTACGGTTGGAATAACTCCTGGTAGTGTGCTGTCAAGAGTCATCCCCATTCCCAAACCCTGAACCGCCAAGACGTGAATCCGCCGCCAGATTTGTGGGAATTTCGATGTCGCGTTTCGCGGCGTGCACTACCTGCAAGTGATAACAAACATGATGTAGTCACTAGAATCACTAGGCAGCGAGGGAGCGCTCGTGTGTCGCAGGTTTGAGGATGAAGCGGACTTCCAGAACTGGGCAGATGGCTGAGCGACGAACAGCGGACAGTGGCGTATGTGACGTTAGGATTCGTGCCAAGCCGAGGCCGGATACTTGCGGGAACTTTGCTGTCATCCCCTCAGAGCTGAAAAGGGTTTTGGCTCCTCAAGCAGTGAGGAGTGGCAACCATGTTTTGCTACCCTGCCGGGAAGAGTGCTTTTCGGAGAATGGTTGCCGTCAGGTGAAGACCCGGAGCGGCGTCGGGCTGCACTCAAGGAAGGAATGTTGCTAAGCGATCGCAAGAACTGAACTTTGTAAAATGTCGGCAGGTCCCACCAGTGATTGTGGCTGGCCATCCGCTTCCGTAAATGCCGGAGACTCAGCTTCCCGGAACATTGCTGATGAACCATGTAGGCATCGACCATCAGAGGAAGTTGACCTCGTGTTTACCAAGGCCTGATCGACACGCTGATCCAAGTGGGCAGTGCAGCACTCGTCTTGCGAGATCACACATGTCTCACCAAAGGCCATTTGCGACATGATGCTGGTGCAAAGACAGCAGCGCAAGAGCAAGAAGCGTCTCAGAAAATCGTTCGAGCATTTTTGGAACATTCAATGCCATTCCTCGAGGTCATCATCTGCTGATGGTATCGTTCTGGGAGGTTGCAAGACGTTTGCATGAATTGGTTTAAGATGCAAGGAAGCAGTATATCGCCTAGCGCAATCCAGCATTTGCAAGCGCTTAGTTGTAGTCGTAAGAACAAAGGAAACGTGTCTTCAGGCATCGAGTTTGTTTCGCGGAGTCTAGCATGTCTATGAGTGACAAGATTGCTTGCCCTGTGGTCACACCCCATCAAAATCTTCCTACTCAAACTATAATACCTAAAAACCAAGACCCTAAACTCTGCAATATAGATGCAGAAGCCCTGCACCCGAAACTCCAACTGCCGTCAGACAAAATCAACTAGGGACCGATACACCACAAACTTCCAAGCCGTATGTACGCCCCAAACTCGAGATTCAGCAGTCAACGAGTCAACACCCTAGATCCTCTGAAGTTCCCACTCAGTTCGTCTCATGTCTGCAGCATCTTGGCTAAAGGGGCTTTAACGCTCCTCCAAATGCGGTCGCATCAAGTTGCGGCTGGAGCCCCGGATGCTTACGTACAGTCTTATGTGGCGCCTTCTGTTTGCGTTCACAGCTCTTGCCACTCCTCTACCCTCAATACAAGATTTTTGCAGGTAACCGTCCATTGCGCATGGGGCTCAGAAGTACCAGGATGTTGTTCCACTTTCGAGGAGTCGGTGTGTGCGATTGTGACGGAAGAGTGCCATGCAAGCGGTAGGTCTCATAGTTCTTGCGAGGTACCGAAGCTGCTGCCCGTGCAGCAGGTGAGCCTGATGCCATGTTGAGCTAGCAACAATGTTGTCAAATTCTAGGTCGAGCCGTGCTCGCAAGCAACAGCAAACTTTCAGCCTGTCAGGACACTGAAGGGGGCCTGCCACGACTGCTGTGCGGCGGGCGCAGCAACGAAAGGGCTGTTCAAAGCCCAGTGCGTATTTCATGTCACAGCAGACAGCAAGTGACATCAAATTGCCGAAGGCGACTGCGCCCGAAGGATCCTCCAACCGCTCGCTGAGCCTTGAGGATGAGGCGGGAGCAGCCAATGCCAAGTCACAAGCATCCAGTGTGCTTCCGTGGCAGGAGTTGCTGTGTGAACCTGTGACCGTGAGCCACCTGAGCTTCTCAGCTGCAGACCGTTTGTCGCTTATCTATGGACAGAAGCCTTCTTCGATTAGTTCTTCCCTGGGAAGGCTCTGACATTGGCGTTCACTCTGAGCCACTCGAAGGCCTGACACCAACCCTTGCCGGCGCGTAGTGGAGGGCAGCAGACGAGAAGCGAGTTGCTCGGCGAATCCAATCTGATCTCGAGCGCAGGACTGCGCAGGCCAGACACCTCGTTACGCCAAAACGTGCCTCTGTCCCCCTTGGTGCGGAGAAAAAGCCTCGTGACCAAGCAGGCCGAGAGAAGCTGCCAGTGATTCTTGTCATGATTCAGCAGGGCGGATCCGTTGTTGTGGCAAAGGAGTTGGCAGCTACCTCGCCTCTGCTTCGACCGCCGCGATTGCCAGTGTCACGGAGTAGCTCCGCTGCTTGGCACAGCATTCGAGCGACAACAGGCCGAAAGCAGAAATGGGCGGGGTCGTTGCCACCTGGTCCTGCCATTAAGGTTGAAACGGACAAGTCCGTTGACAGTAGTCGACCAAAGGCTTCTCCGCCATGACCTCAGTTTCAAGTCTATGCGAGCGATTGCGAGCGTGCGTTGGAGCGTGGGCTTCCTTCGGTTGGACTTCCCTGCTCTTTTTCCCCCAGTCGTCTCTGCCCTCCCTTTGCCTCTGCCACTGGATCCTCGACGGTCGCACGCAGCGACACAAGCCAGCATTTGAGGATTCTGGTGCTCATTTCTCGCGTTAGCCTGATCACATTTTGCATCTGCAACCTGCGCATCGCATATAGGGACTGCAACGATTCTTGCGACTTCTATCCATGACATCCTGCATGTTCTTAGAGCTCGCATTGAACGTGCTGATGGTACAGAACTCTCCAGATTGAATGGAGATGCCAGAGTCGAAATGTCGATCTACAATCGCTCCACATCGCACCGGAAGTGGAGACGCTTAAGGTCATGTAAGGTTAACTATTTTTGATGCCCTTCTGTTCTCACAACTGCATTTCCGCAAAGCAGGTCTTCACTTCCGGCCCCTTACCCTACTCGTGTTTTCACGGCTGTCGGCCTATCCAGCTTTCTCCGGCTCGGCCTGGCTTAGCGCTTGGGAGCTGTGCAGCACAGCTCCCTGTGCTGCCCTGTCACGAGCGGCTCCAATGATTCTCATTTCTTGACCAGAAATTCTCATCTGTGGCTGCAGCACTTCCTCTAAGGTCTGTGTCTCCTCGATCTCCAGGTGCCGATACTCAGACTTATGCTCGCAGTCTGTGTATGCAGTGGGACAGAGCTGTCATGCGTGCCAACGCAACACTGCCAGCATCCACCAGCGGCGAGGTACTCAGCCAAATTCAGCCAGTGGCGCGAGACTTGGGGCAGTTGCTCTTGCTAGTGCATCTGGGTCTTCGTCTTGCAGAGCGCTCTTGAGAAAAGCTCCGCCGAAGCGCGAGTTGGGCACGAAGAGACCTTCCAGGATATATAGAGTGCACTGAAGTGTTCTGTTGCTCGACTACCTGCAGTGCAGTGGAAACCCCGGGCCTGCGGGAGCCAGAATCATCGACTGAGAGCTTTCCTGTTAACGTCGTCAAGGTTTCTCAAAGTCTCGGCTGAGTTTACGAGTTCTTTGCTCGGCACGATGGCTATTTCGCAGAATCATTTCGAGCGATACCTTTCTATCCGCTGTCTGCACCAAATCTTTGTTGGAAATTGGTATCCCGGCCTCTCGTCGGAAGTGTCTGCAGTCGTGCTGAGGTACGGACGATGAAAAGTCTCCTTGCCCTAGCATCTCTGCTAGCAGCATCGACACAACTAGAACGTACCCACGCCTTCAGCTCAGCTGTGTAGAGGTTCTGAGATTTGTCACAGGCACTCAGGAGTGAATGAGCGCCTTGCAAGGTGCTGTTGACCTTATCGTAGAGGAAGCGGAGGAAGACATCAATCGGCCTTGGGGCACTGTGGAGCGGACATTCAAAGCTTTCTGCGGAACAAAGCCAGGCAGCCCACGCTTATTGGCATCAGACACAAAGCATCACTGAAGCCAAGACAAGTGTTTTCTTAAGTGCGAGGGGGCAACTGCACAAGAAGGTCAGCAGATGTCAGCAGTGATCGACTTGGTCAGGTATGGATGGAAAGTCATTTGCAAAGCTTTGCAAGGACTTGCGTTTGTGTGGAATGACTTCATGCGGGTTGAAGGTTGAAAAGCAAGCGCGCTCTGGGGAGTATTGCTTGCCTGAACACGCTCTCTGTACCAGTTCCTGTCCCTGAAGGATTCCTCCTTGGTCGAGAAGAATCTTACCAAGACAGATGTGGACATTATCTTTGCGAAGGTCTGCAAGCCTCTTGGCTGAAATGCCCGAAATGCATCGGAGGATTCTCGGGGCTGCTTCAGGAAGGGGCACCGTCGGATCGGGCTGGAGCAGTTCGATGCAGCCCTGGAGATGATCGCAGACAAGAAGACCTTGACTTTGGAGGAGGTCTGGTGCGCAGTAAGGCGCGCCGGACAGGATGCTGCAAAGGCGCTGGGTCACGATTTCTCTCCGTGTGTGGCTTGTCGCAGGTGTTGTGGAGGGCCCGTCCTCAACAGCACCAAAGCAGAAACAGTGCGGTTCTATGACGACAAGAGCCTCTACACGGGAACTCATGCACAAGGAGGGCCTGATCCTGGCAGGAAGGGAAAAGGTACACTGCCTCGTTCTCAGTCTCCGGGTCGGCTCGAGGCAGTGGATTTGGGGCATGCTTTGGGGCTTTCCCGCCAAGGACATGGACCACAGCTCTGCGTGACGAGCCGTCGCAAGGCAACGCCAGCACGCCAGTGCCAAACTCCCCAAGGGATCCCGAGTACTCGCCGCCGGAACTTGAGAAGCGACCTCGATCCGTGAGCTTGAGCGAGAAGAAGATCTCCCAGCAGCTGCGAGGCAAAAACGGCACAGTAGAGGCTGGGGCTGGGGATGGCTGGGGATTGTCTCTGGGTCACCGGGTTGTCCCTGGCTGGGTCGGCGGGATCCAAAATCTCAGGTCCTCCCTTAATTCCGAAGCTTGGACTCTGCTATGGCTACGAGTCTTTTCTGTCGCCAGGATACCTTTAAGGCTTACTGCGCCAACAAGCCCGACATGGATGGGAAGGGCTTCGTCAAACTCTGCAAAGACTGCGAGTTGGTGGACGATAGTTTGACACTGATTGATGCAGATCTTATCTTTGCGAAGGTGGTGTCCAGGGGCCACCGACGGATCATCCTGCGTCAATTCAAGGAGGCTCTCCGGTTGATTGCCGACAGGAAGGGCATCGACGAAGAGGAGATCTGTCAGCGCGTCGCCGAATCGGAGGGGGTGGTTCACGAAGGAACCACTGCGGATTATGTGCGGTTCTTTGACGACAAGAGCACCTACACGGGCACTCATGTCTATGGAGGCTGCCTCAGCACCCACAAACCGTTGTGGCGCATTGTGCGAAAGGGTACAAGTAGGAGAGGAGTATCTTACTTGTTGTGCCAAACACGAAGGATGAGTGTTTCCGAGTCCTTTCTTGTAGATTCTTCTGAAGCCGCAGACACTTCGTGATGCCCAGAGGTCCGGACAGCAGTGCCAGAACCAGTGCTGACCAATTCTGGAGCTCGATGCTGCGCCCCGAGGGCGAGGAGGACAGGCTCCCTGCGCCTTGGCCAAGCAGTTGAAGTCCGACTGAGAGAGACTCTCTCCCACATCCGACCCGAGATCCGACCCTCTCTTTCTTTAGGAGATGGTGGTGACCAAGATCTGTGAGACCAGTCCGCAAGGCGAGGGACTGCAAAGCGTCGCGGCAGCCCCCGCAGTCCCACCACAGTCTGCCAGGGAGCAAGGCGAAGGCGACCCCGGTGCAGCCCAAGGCATGGCCCGGCCTTGCCTCAGCTTTTGCGCACGAGCTTGTGCTGCAAAGAGCGGACAGGCAAAGCCCCGTGCGCGCTTGGCGATCACCGCAAAGAGCAAGCCACCAACTGGGGACAGCCATGACTTTACCATGGTCTTCACCGATGTGCAAGGTGGGCTACAAGGTCCCTAGGCCATAGAGGCTTGCAGGGAACTTTTTTTTCTGTGCGAGGCTCCACATCACTCTGGGAAGCTAACCCTCGTGCGATGGAGCTGGCTCTCAGACTTCACGACGCGACCATTAGGCAAGTTCTTGCCAAGCACAGCGGTTATGAGGCTCGACTTTGCAAGTGTGACAGGTGCCATTACCATGTACGGAAAAGCTTCGCGTGCAGGTCACAACAGAAGGCGATGCCTTCCAAATAGCCTTCCATGATACTGCAGATGCAGTGGCATTCTGCCTGGACACGCAGCAAGAGCTCTTGCGATGTGATTGGCCAAATGCGACACTCTCGCATCCGGATGCAGCTGCCCTCACCCCAGACAGCGAGAGCGTCCACACAAGGGTGGCTTGGCGGCTGTTGTCAGTTGCCTAGTGTCTGAGATCTGAGGCCAGCAGTGACGGAGCCTGGCGCGGGTTGCGTGTGCGCATGGGTCTGCATTCCGGCCGCCCGGCCTCCGTCACGAAGCACGAGGACTCCGAGGGCAACCCGAAAAGGTTTCTCAGAGCCTTCTGCCCATGGCCCTGGCAGGTCACCGGACGATGGAGATATGCGGGGCCATCTGTTGCAATGGCCAAGGCTATAGAGGCACCTGCTTTGCTCTCTCATCCAGTCATCTCCAGCACATGCAGATGCCTGCCAGGGTGTTTGCCATGGTGGGCAGATCATCATGTCTGCCAGCAGCTTTTACCTCATTGATGGTTTGCTGACTTCGCTTGGAAGTCCGCAGGCCAGACAGGAGCTGGAACTTGTGTCAGCAGAGGGTGGCAGCATCCCGAATGCCAAAATGGGAAGGAGGGTAGGGACGAAGGAAAGAAGCAGCGACTGACTGGAGGGAAGGAAAGGAATCGGGCCGATCACTGCTTCCGGGGTCGCCAATGATCGAGCAAGTGTCAACGTGGTTAGACGTTCTCACGATTTTCATGGTGTTCGGGCCAGCGGTGCTAGGTGTTTATAGTCGAGAGAGCTAAGCAGCGAGAGCTTACTAGAAGGGTGCGCCAAACTGCCCTGCAGGTTGTAGACTTGGGGGATCACATCTTGGAAGGGCATGGCCTCACGGAAGACTCGTCCCGAACTGGATGTTCTGGCCGTGCCAGAGTGCAGCTGATTCAACTCGTGCCAGATGCCCTTGCCCACGACTGGTCTGGCATCTTGGCAGCAGACTCCGAAACTGGAGCATCTCCGCTATCCACCGGGAAGGTGCTGCTACTTGTAGTTCCGCAAACCCCTTGTGCTGTGTTGAGGGCCCGATTCGCACATGCTTGAACGCAAGGTGAAGATCCTGACGACACGTCGACTCTGGTAGGTGGCAGAAGATTCGCGCCGGTGGTCAGCGAGCAAAGGGTGTCGCCGGGCTTCGAGGGCTCCCCTGCTGGGCTTCTTGGCTCCCCTAAGCTTGGTTTCCTGATGTGACTCTTTGGGAGGCAGATTCATCTCTGAGGCCGTCCATCACTCTGTGCTTCGTTTTCACCCAGGGTGCCCGCGAGTTGGTCGCGACAGACCCAGGGCTGGCAGTGCAGTCACTTGGGCTCCTGTCACTACCTCAGAGGTTATTTTGCTGTGTGCTTGTAGCTGGCCATAGCAGTGGTCCAGGCGTGGATGTTTGCGTGAAGTTCTACGA